CCCCAAAACCCCAAAACCCCAAAACCCCAAAACCCCTTTTAAATTAAAAATTATTGAATAATTGTTAGAAAATAGTGCATCATCCAGATTTACCTTTGTCCTTCCCTATAAGTTTGATCTCATCTTTGAGCTTTTTATTCTTTTCTTGGTACATTTCAAGCTCTCTCTGGATCTCAGCCTTTATTCTATCCTCTTCTTCTTTCTTGGCTCTTTCTTCTTCCTCTTCCATGATCTTTTCGTCTTCATCCTCTATATTGAGATAGTCTTGTTTATTTATCTCTATTCAAGACTGCATCGTAGAAGGAGTCGCTCTTAAAGCCAGTGTTGGGAAGTAGGGTGGCTGTTTCAGGTCTCATTGAGAAGTCTTTATAAAGTCCCTCCATATTGGCATCGGTCAGCTTTCCATATACATAAATTATGCATTTCAGGTCTGCCAAATTTTCAACAATGTAATTATCAATCTTCAGATTATGAATGTGCTTGTAGTTGAAGGTTGGATTCGTATCTTTGTTCTTAGGTCTCACTTTTTCAGTGGAGAATGTGTTAGCACTATCATCTATCCACTGGTACTCAGCAAATACTTGGTTACAGTATTTCTCAGGGAGGTTCTTGGCTTGGTGAATACTTAGTCCAACTTCCATATCGTCACCAAAGTTTTCTTTCAAAGAATCTAGCAAAAAAGTATCTTTTTCTTTACCAGTTTTGCTATCATAGACTTTTAGGTCTATGGAATATGCTAATTTTCCTTGCTCCTGAGATTTAGTGTCAAAGATTGGTGATTCATCAGAGGGCGTGCCCATGAATAGAGCAAGAGAGTCCATGTATATGAATACATTCCCGATCAGATGCCAGTCGTCTGTGATAAGGAGGCCCCAAATCTCCCCTTCATATTCATCGATTTCGAGTGCTTTTGAGTTAGGGCCATCATGATCGATATCGTATTGATATTCTTCCCATTTATCTCTGATTCTATACATTTTATCTTCCATTTCATCAAACGAGAGGATGTTGTGGAAGTCTTTGTCTTTATCTGGGAAGGCTTTACAGAACACTCTTGGCTTTGTACTTCCATCAGGTAAGACGACTGTGTCAATAAATGGCTCATAATGATATTTTTCTCTTCCAAGGCTAGCTGCTACTTCATTTGCTTCGTTACACATAATAATCATTTTAGCTAGCTGGTCTTGGAGCCCTTCCAGAGTCAGGAGATGAAGTTTTTCTTGCTCTCTTTTGAGATTGGCTTGCTCGAGGTCTCTGAGGGCTTTAGCTTTATCTTCCATGAACTTATTTTTCATGTTCTAACTGTGCATCCTGTAATCTTTTTACCTCTTCATTCTGTTGTTTGAGTCTCTCTTGGAGTTCTTTCTCTCTCTTTTCATCATTCCCATAATCTTCTTCTAATTTCTTGAGTTCTTCTTCTCTACGTTTCATTTCTTCTTCAAGCTTGAGTCTGTCTTGTTCAATCTTGTCTTGTTCGTCCTTAAATTTGCCTTCAAGGTCACTCTTTTCCTTATCCATTTCTTCTTTTAGTCTCTTTAGTTTCTCTTCCATTTCTTTTTGGTACTTCTCATCTTTGTACTGAGCGAGCTGGTCTTGGAGGATTTCCTTCATGGACTCTTCATAATCAAGAAGGGATTCATCAATTTCTTGCCCAGGAAAAATTACTATGTACAAGTTGTTGTTTCCGAACAGGATACGGTCGCCGTGAGCTAATTCAAGAGGACCAGAGACTAAGCTACCGTTCAGATATGTCTTGTTCTTCGCAGGATCTTTAGGGTTAGGGTGAAGCATCAAGACTTGGTTCTCCTCGTCGAATTTCATCTGACTGTGCTCAGGAACGATTCCAATACCACTGATTGGGATATCAGGAGGAGGAATTTTTCCAGGCTTTCCAATGAGGTTATCTCCGTTCTTGATTGGATGCTTGATTTGTCCAGTAAGGAAGGGATCTTCATTAATGTTCATGAGGTGGACCTTGCCTTTGTCTTCATCTTCTTGCTTCCTATCTTCCTCAATTTCTTCATTAATGGCATCACGATTTTCGTACATTTTCTTCAATCGTTCGTTTTCTTCTTTCAATTCTCTGATCAGTTTATCTTGAGGATTTTCATTAATTTTAGCCTTGTTCTTGATACTCTTTACTTGGTTTGAATAAACCAAGGTACTCAGAGTTTCCTCATAGTTGATAGCAGCTGGAGATAGAGCAGCAATCATTGATGTTTTAGAGTTACCTCCCAAAGCATTCTGAAGTATTCTTGTCAACTTAGATTCTCTGTAAGGGACAACCAACTTCTTAGCCTCCTTCTTCCCTTGTGCCTTTGCTGCAAGAATACTGATAACCTTACCCAGGAAAGATAGGGATTTGTTGATATTGGATCCCTCCTTTAGGCGTTCAGCACTAGCTCCTGTAGTCCTTGCTCTTTCACTACCTGCGAGATCGACCAAGTTAATATTCGAATTTTTCTGATTTGTTGGTTTATCTCCAGTATAAAATGTTTGTTTAAATGAGATTGTCGTCACCGTATGAGCTCTAGACGAGGTGTTGTTCATGTTGGTTGCTCCAATAGTTCTCAATGAAGTCCCTCGTTCGATCTGATCTGCAATTTCTTGATAAGAAAATACAGGAATAGTAGTTAGTTGTTCAACATAAACTCCATCCTTTTTAGATTCTCTGATTTGTAGACCTCCTTTCGGTCTTTTGTTAGGTTTCACAAACAAGTCTTGAACTGATTCGTTATAAATTTCAAGCATTGAAACTGTAATGTCGTATCCAACACTGTTAGCAAAGAAGCTATGCTTAGGCTTCCCATTAGCTGATGGAGGTGATTCTTCTATTCCATCCTCTCTTGCTTTCGCTTCTTTGGCTTCGATTCTTTTGAAAATTTCGATACAACTCATTGGAATTATTCCAATATTGGCATCATAACCAAAGATTGAGTAGCTCTTTCCACTACCTGTCTGTCCATAAGCGAAGAGACATGTATGGAATCCATCGAAGGCATTGTCAAGGACCTCAATTCCAAGATCATTAAAGACCAAGACTTGAGAAGCATATTTCGAATTAGGTTGGTCTTTCACAAACATTTTCGTCTCAGGATCAGTCACAAACCCATCATGACTCCAGTAACTATAATCGAAGGTGAACTTCTTCTTGACTCCAGTATTGGGATCCGTGATGGATGTCGTATCTCCATCCATTTGAATGCATCAGTCTGAGGCCTTATCAATCTCTCTTTGATTAAAAGGTCTAACACGTACAGCTACTTTAACGCTAGTCATTTTATAATTTTATTCAATAAAATTATAACACAAGGGGTTTTGGGGTTTTGGGGTTTTGGGGTTTTGGGGTTTTGGGGTTTTGGGG